AAAGAAATTACGCCAAATTATGAAATCTCAATTGACATTAAGAGCAGAATGTAAAACGCTATTTCTAGTTCGAAATTTATTCAAAATCCACTCAAAATAATAGAAAAGAGAAAATACATTCCCTCAATGGTTTTTAAAGATTAAAATAAACACAGTAAGATAATAATCACCTGACGTTATGAAATGTTCTGTTTTCATAATGATAACGTGGAGGAGGATTACCATGTTTGAAAGAACTTTGTAAAGAATCGTAATCATGTCGACAGTTTATCTCCAATTTCTCAAGCCTTAAATAAAAGTAGAAATAAGTACAAAATATCTCAAATGTTTCGAAAGGTTCTACTTTCTTGTGATTGTAAGCTCCCCCTCATTTCGTAAAAATCCCCCCAGGAAAAAAGAAACTAACAGAGAGAAGCAAATCGAGATTTCACCTCTATATAGATTGGCCAGAAGGACTGGGTCCAGTTATTTCATGATTATGTACACACCCCAGGGTGGCAGCAATAACATGAAAAAAATGAGCAACTAAAAACATTACTTTGGACAATACACAATTGACATTCACACACAGACAAATTTCCTGTACACAAAATATATGATGACGTATGAACCTGACAACAAATATGGAAAACCTGACTTTTACTCCTCACTTTACTCTGGAGATGACTACCACTAAGAATTACAAAACATCAATTAACATCAACAACAACAATCCTTCTCATGACTGCACAAATCTGAACAATCTACATCTACAAACATGTAACAATACTCCAAGGTTTAAATAATTCTCTTTATTACAACCAAACAATTATATATTAGTACAGACTAGTGGCTACTGATATGAATGCCATCTTTAAAATATAAAATTTTACATGACAAATTAGAACAGATAAATAAACTATATATTTAGAGTTTGAATATCTGAGAATGCAGACAAGAAAATGTTTTCAAATGCACTTCATTATCAAATAATGCATTGATAATATGTACAGTAAAATACAGATTTGTGTTTGTATTCATGTCTTTTAGTATTTTCCAGTGATTTATCACTTATGACATAAGTTTAAAACTATGTCTACATCAATGGAATGGAATTTGAAACCATATCCATATCAAACTACTCTACTATTTGTATTGTACGAACGGGAAAAGAAATTTTATGCTACAAAGAATTTTACATAAAAAATACTTTACTAGCAAGTATACTTACCCTTTATCAATCAGCTTGCACTATTTTGATGAGAAAATAATACAAAATCGGCATCATGAATTTTTATATTTCTTGATTCTGGTACGTTACAAAAATATGACAATATCAACTTCTTAAATACAGCTAAATATCCTACGGCCATTTAATACTTCCATTGTTACTACAAGACTATACATATGTGGAGGAAAGAAAATTATCAAAGAATGTTTTGGATCTTTCAAAATGTTACAACTGTCTGTTTAATAGTCTGTTCACACTTTATATGTTCTTTTGAGTTTATTATCTAAGGTGAACTGTTTGTTTTTGTATTTATATGAATGGAGCAGTGAAGGTGTTCATATGCACAAAACAATTGGTTTTTTGCAAAATTTTGAACCTCACATGAAAAATTTACAACAAAAATTCAACAAGGTAATTAAAGTAATATCAACTCAGTCATACTTTCAAAACTAGCGATAAACTATGGCTATGCAAAGAATTAATTAAAAGCTACACTCTCGAAGAGTTCACAAAAAATTTACACAAACTGTACGACCAAAATAAGGAAAATGAAAGAATTTTGCTACGAGTTATCAATGACAATGAATGAATGTCGATGATGCCACGTTCGCATTATTTTGTCGAGCTATGAACTATAACAATATTCTCTGTTTAAGTTTTTATTAAGTAAATAGTGATGTCGGATGACTAGATTTAGAACATTGAGTTTTGATGTCGTTAAACATTCACGGTGTACATTAAAAAAACACAATTGATTTTATTAAACTTTCTGATGATCAGTGAAAGACTCTCAATGAAAACAAAAGGTTTTCAAAGAAATAAATGATCATAAAGTTCCGAAATTTTCATAGCGTGACTAAACTTGAGAACTGACTACGCTACTTAACACAATCGCTTTTATAGAAAAATGATCGATGGTATTTCAAATATTAGTTGTTTATATAAATACCTTGGTAGAAGCTTTCAAACTTTGGATGTACTTGTCTTCTTTGGCATAAGAGAAAACTTCAAGCAAAGTAGAAATGATTAAATATGGTTTATTACATTGAAACAAGAAGGAAAACTTTCTCCCTCAAATAAAAATGAAAATAACAAATTAGTAACAGGAAACATTGAGTTGCCGTACTTCATGTAAGAAAAGATATAATATCTTTTAACAAAGGCTCCTTTGATGAGGTATTGGCTTCTCTGCACTAGGTTAAATTAATTTCTCATTTGGCATTTTCCGGGTTTTTTTAAGTACTTTCAGTAAGATATGTTAGTTAAGTTGTAAAGGTTACAAACGTCGGTATCTTTGGTTAAAATGGTTGAACGAGCATGCAGATTTTGTTCGAGTGGTCTCCTTTGATTTTGGTAAAACCTTTGATTTAGTTTCAAATAACGTCGTAGTTTAACCATTGAAGACAGAAAGTGAGAATTAATAATCTTCAATATTTTAATCAAGAAATTATTATTCAAAACATTTTAATTACTTAATTCAAAAGAACTTATGTCAAAATCGTAAAAGTGTTATTTATTTTCATCACAGTTATTGACATGACGTCATGATGACGTTTTTACATACGGGAATTGTTGACAGTATATAACATTTTGTTTCTTTAAAGTGGTACTAAGACGAAAACTGAACGTTAAAAAATCATCGATTTTAGCATTCAATAGTTTAAACACATATCAATTATTGCTTTCGTAAAATTTAAGCAAAAATAATAGTATAACGAGGGAGTTATGAACATTTGAAATGTCTAATTTTCATGTCCGCCATTAAAATCGGCCATTTTGAATATTTGCAATCAGCAAAGGTCTGTGACGTCATAGTCTTAACACGGAGAGAAGCGCACATTGGAAAGTATACAAAGTAATACATAAATAGAGCAAAAAAATGTCAAATTCATCGAGATCTAGCTCGCTTTCTGAGTCTTCGATCGAGACAAATGCATTGGTTTCTTCATCGGAATTCATGACGGCAAATTCGGACGAATCTAATTCGGAAATTTTGCCATTTGCCGATAATATTGAACCGCTTGCTTCGCCCGATGAAATTGCTGAGTACGAAGCTGCAGTCGCAGAAGAACGGCGGGTTGAAGACATGCTGCAGCATCGTTTTGATGCCCGTGTTGATGTTTCTTCATGGTAAGATGTCATTCTTAGTGTTTTACTTTGATCTGAATCGTTTGCCGTTAGCTATGATAACTTTATGGAAACATACAATTTGGCCAATATTAAATGTGTGAATGTGGCCATTGTTCGTTGGATCTTGTTGTCAACCCTCAAGAGTGCCGATGCTGCATGGAAATAGAGCAATGCCGTGGTAAAATGTATCAGTTCGAAATCGATGAAAGGAAATGCATTTTGATCACCCTGGCTTTAACGAAGTTTGCCTGAACGAATTTGTTCTTCAAGCAGCTTCGTTAGGTTTAAAGACCAAAGGTCATCGCATGATACAGACACTTCATTTTGTATTTCCTTTAAAACCTTAGTATAAATGTATATTATATATTGAAAGTTTGCCTGGATGTATTATTGGTTCTCTCAATTTGTGAAAATTTATCATCTGCAATAAGAAAACAATCATCCGAGAAGTGATTCGAACAAATCATAAATCGAATTTCGCGCGAACTCGGATTAAAGTTTGCGCGCTTCGTCTCAACAAATTTAACCCAAATTCTTCTTAAAGACTCGTCGTTTGGGCTTTTATGTAATGAAATGCCTGTACTTCTATCAGACGTATTACTGCAATCTTGCACGACACAGCGTGTTGAAGGCATGTTAAAAAATTGAGTTATACAACCTTTTATATCTCTATTTGTATATAGTGTTATAATGTAAACAGCCGCGAGCTAAGACTATGACGTCACAAGCACCTTCCTTCTTGAAAATTCAAATATGGCGCATTTTAATGGCGGCTCTTAAAGTACAAGTTTTATCGCTACGTAACTCGAGCAGCATTAAATACATTGCGCTAAAATTTCGCCAGAAGAGATTTTTTTACATACACTATTAATCTATGAAAAAAAAACGGGAGGCAAAATTTTCGTTTTAGTACCACTTTAAGTTCATATGTACATAATAAAGGAACAAAAACGATCTCTCAAAGACTCTCATATTTTTCAACTAATGACCGCAAAACCCAAATGGTGTTTTTATACATGTGAATTTTGAACAGCATACAAAACCCATTTCCACGACATTAAATTGTATTTACAGTTCTTGAAAGCATGTCTAAAGAAAGTCACTCTATAATTTCATCAAAAGAATCTTCATCTACAACAACACCATATTATCAAATGACTCACAATGAATGAGTTGTCGACATTCTTCCATTTCTATGTAGTGAACGTCTTATTTATAATATTATAAAATAACCGCAAGAATTTAAGCAATTTCACTATCGAGAGCTATGATCTATAAGAGGACAAACGCACGGAATTGAGGTAACAGAAAATTCCTTATTTTTAAATGACAAACGAATGGAGAATTTATTTGAATATTTACCTGAATATATCCCTGAATGGGCAAATAAAGAAATCAAGAATGCTCAGTTGAAGCATAGGACGTATTTGAGCAAAAACAAAAGAAAAAATCCGGTTTTCAAACATTGATTTGCCCCGGCGGCACGTGGCCACTCAGTTTTTATCACAATGACGTCATACCCGTGTATCTATAACTGCATAGACAACGGTTAAATGTTATCTATTTGTTAAATAAAAATAACCAAATTATCTAACCATACATTTTTATTAAAAAGTAAATCATCAACATGAAATTTTTTCAGAAGTTCAATACATAATAATAAGTTTGACAGAGCATCTTACAGTAGTAGTCTAATCTAGAGGATGCCCTGTTTAAATGACAATTCATTTATGAAGATTACAAGTAGAATCTTAGAAAGGAATAAACAAATATTCATGATCAATTAGTATACAAGCACTCTTTCTAAATACAAGTCATTTGTGTTATAAAAAGCAATTATACATCGTTTCAGATTATTGCAAAACATTGATAATATTTTACATTCTTTAATAGCAGGAGGTAAGACATTCCAAGAAATAGTACCGATAAATTTAAAAGATCTTTTGCAAAATTGGTCCAAATTTATTTTTGGTAAATATAGATAATTTCTTAAAGATTGCCTGGTAGAATAAGTAAACTTCTTCTGTAGAAAACTATAGTAGGTGGAAACAAGCAATCATCCTTACGACCATCAACATCTATGTGCAATTTTCTCAAAAGGTTTTTGAACTTACTATTAAAGTTTGAGTTGATGTTTTTATTCAGGAACAATAAGTTTTAAAAATTGAATTATGCAATCTGAGTTGTGAACCATAGCTAAAGTTCCTGTATTGGAATGAATAGTTATATTAAACGTTACATGTCCGTCAAATGCAGCGCACTTTTCACCACTCTTTAAATCTACAGCCACCAATGACCGACCAAAGAGCCATTCAACCACTCCAATGCAATAAGATTTGTGTACGACTAGGTCGGATTCCAAATAATATTTACTGACATCATGCATAATCGCATTAACATCACCATTCTCGTGAAAATTAATTACATAAATGTTCATACATTTAAAGCCATCGGAAAATGTTATGGCTGCTTGTTTACTATCACTTATATAGCAGTCGAACATTAGATCATTTACAGTTATCTGTTGTGGAAGAAATTTTTCAATGACAGCTATTATGGGTATTTCTGCAGTATGCCAAGGTTTCAAGTAAAGTTCATTGTTGTTATTTCCCCATTTCCATAATGTGTATTCTGTTTTGTTTACAGTTAAAATAACAGAATTATCAGGTGATACAGCTGCTGCTTTAAATTTTGAACTATGGACAGGAAGTCTTTTGTTGTATTGTATCTCACCCTTGGTAATTCTAACAACTTGAACAAACTTTTCTTCGTCAATACAAACTAAGACATCACCAAATGTTAAGATTTCTTCAGGTTTAAATCCAATGTTAACATGCTTTGCTTGAGTAGAATTTACAAAATTTTCAGACGAAGTTGATATCTTCATAAGATGATCAGAACCATCCCATATCCACAGTAAACCATCTGACCACCAACATCCTAATGCATTCTTCAGTTGCATTGGTACAGTTTGAATAATAGTGCAACGTTCAATGCTCCAAATATGAATGGTAACGTGGTCACCAACTGCGAAAGCAGCAAAAAGATCCATCCGGTGAAAACAACAACATTTAATTTCAAATTTCTCAAAGATAAATGAAGGTCTCCAAAGATGATCAGTTTTGAAAATTTTAAGCTTGGAAAAATACGGCACAACGTAAAATTCCTTAAACGAGATTGGATGGACTTTGTTAAGATTCCTCCGAAAACATGGACACCTAACATGTGGTAAACAAAACTCGACTTCTCCTTGATCGTTGTATTTTGTCAACTGAGTGATTTCAGAAAGCTTTCCATTCTGGCCTGTATGATAAAAAATACAATCACGATAATGGTGTGTTGTCACTAAAGGTAGTGAATCAAAATATTTCTTTGAAAAAATATCGATTGCCTTTGGGAATTGAAAAACATGCGAAGTCTTCACAAATTTTGTAACAAGGAACTCTGAATATTTATCGGTGCATTGTAGTTTTTGGTAATCAACAACGCAGCGTCGATCGATTCTTTGCAAAGTTAATGAATTCCATGCAGTGAACACATCTTTAGAAGAAATTCCATCATATCTTGCTGTAATAAACAAACCTGAATCTAAGAAAGAGCAACGATTAACGACATCATCTGACTGTAAACATAATAACAAACGTCCATTGTTAACGTCCCACAACTTTACTTCAGTAGATCCATCACTAGTTACCAGTCTATTTCCGGTAGGTGAAAAGGAGCAACAACAGATGTTTCCACGTACAAAATGAGATTTCATTGGTAAATAGTCATATTTGTCATACAGTGACATATATTTGTTTACATCATCTACATCATCCCATTTATCCAACCTTGAATCATCAAGTGCAGTGCCTAGAGTGCATTGTTGTTTAAATTCTGGATGTTCAAAAATAGATATTTGACCATTTTCATATCCTAAAGCAAGAAGTTCTTCATTGGACGACAAACAAAAAGATGTAACGTTAGCACGCAAGGAGACAGTCAAATGATGATGGTTTGTTAAATATGTTGAGTCTAAATCCTCAAACCAAACAAACCTTCCTTGTTTCAATAAATCCCTTGCCAATAATCTGTTTTCGCTACTTCCATGAATTCTGTTGGCAATAGCTTTGTAAATAAATTAAGATACCATCAAACCAATATATCTTATAATTCCGTGTCGTATACAAATAAATTAGTACTTCCTCAAGTACATCTTTTTTCAAAAAAGTACGTCGTTCCTTAATGATTTCAAATAATTAAGAGCTAATGGTTTTCATGTAAATGTTTTCCACACATTAACCTCGCACAAACCACTTTGACATCTACTGCCCAGCTAAAGTCAACATTTTCGCCACATTCTATCATATGGTAGACTCCATTCTTCAAAGCATATTTAATCATAGCAGTGTTCATCTGATCTTCAAAATGTTCATCGACTTAATTTGTTCAAACACTTTCTCACAAGCATGCCATAAGAACTTATGACCATTTTTTGGATCAACTGTAAACTCATGCTGTTCGTAACCATCTGATTTTAACCAATCAATTAGAGATTTGTGATATACGGTTAAACAATCATCGTAAACTGGCAAAATTTGAGATAACGGTTCAATGATTTTACTGCGGACTTCAAACTTGATGTCACCAGAAAACCTAAATAGCTAAACAGTAAAGTTAATGGTAAAACTCCCGACAGGCAGCCAACAATTCAAGAAATTGCATAAAAGAAGTTTCCGAGATAACAGACTTTCTGGGACTTTCCTTCGTTAACAATTCTTTTACTCTTTTGAATTGCTTTGTGTAAACACCGCTTAACCCACTAGGGACCAATTGTTGAATATTTTTGTAAGTAAGCTCAATATTTTTTTCTTTCAAGTTCAGTTGTGCGTAATACGCATAAAGAAATGATCCCTCACATTTTTCAACTAATGACCATGGAACGTGGCCATGTTCCTGCACTTGATTTTTCAACTCGTGTCTCAAATACTTGGACAGGTCTTTTTCGTTGTTTTCATCACGAGGATGAGTTGTAATTTCCAGAGGTTTCATGTTTTTTAACTCCTTTTGAACAGGAAGTTCTGGACGACTGGTGATGAAGATTTTAATCCATTTAGGCAGTCGGTCAAACTCTTCTGCAATCAATTCCAACAATTCACTTTTGCCATCAACTTGGCTTTCATCTAAGGCATCAATAACCAAAAGCATTGGTTCATGATCTTCCAATGAATGCAATGGATTATTTAATAAAACTAAGAATTTATCGGTGATTGATTCTTTGGAATTGTTTCTCTGTAATTCTCCATTCAGTTTACTTTTAAAATTTGATATCGTTTCACACATGCTACTAGCCAATGATTCAATCAATTTTCGAGGATTTCTATAATCGGATCTATTATATCTGCAGAAATGACAAGCAGCAAGTTTCTTCCTTTCAGAATATCGTCGACACACCTCAGCAGCAAACACACTTTTACCAACACCAGGACCGGCAATCAAAATCATGACATTAGAAGGATCTTCACTTGTATCGTTAAACCAAGTGTCGAGTTTTTCAAATAACCATTGTCTAGTGCCTTCAAGGTATTTCTTGTTAAGATCTTTTATAAGACCGTTGAAATTACACTTTCCAAGCTTTTCGACAACTGAACGTGTTTTGACTTGCAAGATGTCTTTTACTCCTGCTACATCAGCTATTGTTGCCATCTCTTGTGTAATTTCACCTACATCAGCTTTTGTAGCCATCTCTTGTGTAATTTCAGCTACATCAGCTTTTCTTGAGACAATTTCCTTAATTTCCTCCACGTCATTTTTTATATCTTCCACATCTTCTTTTGTTTTCGAAGCAACAGTACACCAGTTTTTTAACAATTCAATATAATTTGCTTCATCAGGACTGAGACGAGCTTCCTTCAATTCGTCTATTTCAGTTTGTTGAATACCCAGACCAACCAATGCTTTTGAAATTTCCTGCCACAAATACTCAAACTCACTGTCATTTAAACTAGTTGTAGTTATGTGACCATACACTTTGTTTCGATAAAACTTTATTCTTGCAATGTTTGCTGAGGTTGAAGAATCTGAAGAGGAAGGAAGATTATTCCATCCACCATGTGGCGCTGTTAGACCACATATGTTACGCAGTAAGACAGTCAATAATGAAATATCAAAGTTTTCAATGTCAGGTGAGCCAGTTGACGGGTAAAGAAGGTTCCATTGCTCTTTGCTGATGACTTTGAATTTTAGTGGTGTCAATTTACTCTTTGTAGAAGGATAATTAAGTTTATCTTTTAAGTTTGATGATTGAAGGTTTATAATGATTTGCAATGTTGTTTTTAAGGCTTGTGTTCCTTTATTTATCAAAAGTTTACTTAAACGAGATCCGTTTGCCTCAAACTTCAGTTTTTTAGGCGGTGAAGCCATTTTTCAAGCTAGAAAGGAAGAATGAGTTTGTGCAAAAAGCATCAATTTGCAATGTACAAAATGAGCACAATGAGATCCATTTTCCTCAATCTTTAATTTTTTAGGTGGCGAAACCATTTTTTATTCTATAAATAATGAATGAGTTTGTGAAAAAAGGTATAATTTAAAATGTACAAAATGCTCACAAAAGTCAAAAGGATAAATTAAAAATAGTACAACAAGTCATTTATAAAGACTTGTGTGCTTCATTTCTTTCTCTCGATAAAAATTTTTTTCATTGCCTAGTGACATGACCCAGTAACTGATCTTACATCAAGGCATGAAAATAGTAGATTTAATACAATGAAAAAACACTTAAAATGAGAATATTTTCGCCTACTCAGTGCGAGAGGAAACATATACCTTATGATAGTAACTCCTAGTTAATAAATAATATATCTTATTTGTCTAACAATCGTGTGGTGAAGAGATACGTCGTTCTTTTAACAGGATATATCGAACTGGTTTGCTGTGTTGTATGAATATTTGCTTTTTAACATTTTGATAGGACCATATTGCTGATGAATCTGTTCCAATTTATATTTTTGCTAGACTGCAGTTTAGCGGACATCCGAGGCGTTTGTGACCTCGTTTTGCTTATAGGGTAGGGGATTGAGTTCTATAATAACTGGATATCTCAAGCGCGGCCTTAGATATCTGATGCCAAAAATGGCGGATTTCGTCCGTTGCCGCTGAGATTTACCGAAATTGACCGCTTTTCCGAAAATTTCACAATTCCGAGTGAGCTGTAGTTGTTCGGTTATGTGTATTACGATTGAAGCATTTTACGACTTTATCTAACGAAAGACCTATATGTCGGCTCACATGTATGAATGCAGATGTGCGTCGTTTTCTTACCAGCGTCAAACTTGTTTGAACATTTAAACTCTTTAGTCTATACAAAAAAGTATATCATAGTTCATCTCCACGGTTCACGAGAGAGAAGTTAGCTTGTTTGTTATCATTGCTATTTTGCTTCTTTTCATGCAATGGGCAATGGCTTTTTTCGCCACAAATGTAAGATTTTTACTTGTTTCTTTAAAAAAGTACATATTAAATCTCTGTATTTTTACGGATTTTTTGTAATTGAGTTTCATATTAAATTTCAAAAAGACTTAAGTCTGCATAGGTTTGGTAAATGAAAACAAACAATATTGTGTAGAAATTACTTTAAGTAACTTTTTTGTGATGTTCTGAAGTGCAAGTGCATCAAACACTTGTAAAGTTGTAGCACATTTTGATTTTGCTGTATTGATATATGAATTGGGCAAAATGCAAATAATCATAAAAACACTTATGCTTCCAATGGTGTTTATAATTCATTTGTAGTTTTAATACTTCTACCTTTCTTTTTCACTTTGTTTTGTTTTTCCTATATTTGCAATATAAGTGCACTATAATTTGAATGATTAACACAGTTTTCACCTCAATAATAAATTTCATAAGCAGTTGGTAGTGTATTTTGTTCTCTGAGTATCCACATCTGGTGTTTTCTTCATACAAGATGCAATAATGCATATGATAAATCTCCATTCTGTACTCTAATGGGTAAATAAGCTCAAATTTTTCTTAAAGAAATATAAAAAATATATAAGAAATATACAGTACAGTAACTTCAAAGGTTTCATCACTGAATCTTTAGTGCTTCAGTGTAGTGCATTAGATATTAGTAACATTCAAACAACACTCAACTAAAATATTTTGATAAAGATATGACATGATTTAAACATTAGGTTACATAAAACCCAATGGCTTATACAGTTTGAAGCTTCACATCTGCATTGAGTCATCATCAATCTCAGTACAAATGTTTACATAGACACAAACTTTATGGCCTTCCATTTTACATGTTTGTGAATTGACCTTTCATTAAGCATCAAAACACACACAACCTTGCCATCTTTCTTTGGTTCATGAACTTAAACTTCAAAGCATTCAAGGTATCCTTAGTGAATCCATTGTCTCCATCAATAGAATTTGACCACGATCAAATTAAATAACTCTGGATAGGGCAGACAATAAATCAATTATCTTTACAGCATTATCATTTTTTAAGACTCTGCCTGGTCAATAACATCTTCCAGTCATCTTTACTCCTTCATCTTCCCTGCATGTTGTCAGAAAATAGAGCATAACAAGCTCTGCTCCAAATCATGGGTACCGTTGGGGCTGATTATTTCTTTTTGATACTTACTCACAGAGCAAAATGTGTGCAGGGTCTTTTTTGCTTTAGGGAAACTATTTTGCAAATAAATGGGTAAATTTACGATTTCATGCATTAACAAATGACAGAA